GTGAGTTCACTGGTTGATTGCACCATGCCGGACCCCCTAATGAGCAAACGGCTAATGTCACAAATAGCATGAAATTACCCACGTTCCTGCCATCCAGCTTGTGAGCCAAAAGTGCCACTGCAAAGCAAAACTCGAGTGTTTTGTTTTGTGCAAAGACAAAGGAAAAAGAAAAACGTCATCTATAATCCATCTCAGCGAAACAGGCACAGTTGGTTGGTTGTGCTTTGCTTTGCAGTGTTGGTGACATTTAACAGACCGAGCATCGAACAGGAAGTCAGTCCTCATGATATACGGGAAAACAAATTGTCAGGAAATACACTGTGCCAAATCATTTTTTTTTCTTTCTGAAAGTTTCACAGTAGTAAGCGACGAAGAAAAGTTTGAATTAAGAAAAGGGGATGAAAATATTAAGCTAACATCAAATGAAAAACCGAGTCTGTGGAGCCAGCGTGGAAGAGTGCTCAGAGTTTCTCTATCAGTCTGTTATCGTTCTGTTATGTGTAACGGAGCCGCTGAAAGAGAAGTGAGGAAGTCCAAGCCTCCTCTACACAAACAAATCACGGGCTGAGTACACTGGGAGTCACAGGGGTCAGGAATTAAGCCGTTAGATACTCTGTGTCATCGACCCGCACCATTACCAAAAAGTATGCCTTTTTTTTTTTTAGCGTTTCTCCTCATTCTTGAAATTTCATGTTTATCATGATGTAAAGTACATTCTCTTTATGATTTTCATAGAAGGCATTTAGCAGATGCTTATTCAGTGCAACTTTCAAAGTCATTTAGCTTCATTTATGAGAATGTAGTGGTCAACAGATGGTAGAACTGCAATTCAGAAAGTTTTCTTTTGGGAAAAGAAGTGCTGCCTCTGTGAATATGTACTACTTGATACAAATAAACAGTACACATAATACACACACACACACATATATATAAGTGTATATATATATATATATATATATATATATATATATATAATATATAATTTACAAATAAAGCCTGTAGAACATGTTTCAAAGTGCTCAAGTGTTCAACAGTGTAATAGTTTGGTTAAAAATGACTTTACAAACAATCTGCACAAAAATGTGCATTTAATGCAACAGTTTATGTAAGAATCGATTTGGGAAAGATTTACACATTCACATATTGTGTGACAATTTTATGTGAAATTTATTTTTTTTATTTTTTTTGTGGAGGGGGGTGCTATTTATACAGATATTTGCATTAAATGCAAATATTTATATAAGAACATTTTTACCAATTATTTGCACGGATATTTGCGCACAATTCAGCAATTTATAGAAGACTGTGACAGATTTATACTTAAATTTTAAATAAATGTTTTTTTCATACAATTTAAAACAAAATTTGCTTTAAATGCGACAACTAATATAGGATAATTAAAAACCAAAATGGGCCTTATTCATGAAATGTGAGCACAACAGATTAGTCTAATTAATTCATAAAATCATTCTTAAGTAAATCGTTGCACTGAATTGAATGATTTAATTCATGAACAATTTACATACATTTGTTTTACCCAGAGCAATTTCATAGAATTTAGATGGACATTTGCATTGAATATGACAATATAGAAATATTTTTGCTGGTGTTTCAAAAATGAAACCATTATATTTTGAAATAATAATATATATATTTATTTACTTACTAATTAAACTTACAATGTTTGGCAGAAGGGTTATTATAGTTGACTAAATCTGAAACAAAAACCATAAACCATAATTTGTTTTTACTTGAAGACATTTCTCATTTTAATTTAGTTTAACTTGATGTACTAAAGTAATTGAAATAAAAATGAATAAAAATTATATTGGCATGTATAAAAAAACTATTAAAATGACAGACAAGTTTACTAAAATTTTAACTGAAATGAAAATGGAAAATATACAAAAAAATAAAAAGATTAAAAATATTAATAAAAACTACAACAGTATCTCAATGATGCTAAAATAACTTTTTACAATTTTTTCCCTTACAAACTGTCCAACAAAAGCATAACTAGTACGCATAAATGAATTGTTTGAGCGAGTAAGCATGATTGGGTTGACTTTTGTCGTTTTGTTCCGCGTGAGGCGACGTTGACTGACGAGGAAGGACAAGAGCGCTGAAGGTTTATGGCAAGGGTAAATGAAGTGTTTCTTCAGGCTGTGTAACTGACCATGTGTGTGAGCATCCAGGCTCTCGTAACAGCGGCTCGCACACACATATATACAAACACACGCCATACATGCTGCGAGCTCTGGCCACACAGCTAATCTGGGATCTTGCTTACAAGGAAAGGTCTATCTAAATGTATTTATATGTGCCTAATATCTATATGTGCCTAACTATTCAATGTCAGACTGTGTTTTAACAGCAACGGCATTGCTATTCTACAGCAAGTTTGAGAGGGTAAATTGCACTCTTTTCATAAAAGCTCGTAAAAGCTCAGCGTTATAATCCTGAGGCCTGTTTTGAGGCGAAGCTTTTCTCCAATGGCTTCTTAAAGCCGCCCGCTCTGAGGAAGGACCTTTTGGTTAATTACGAACAGCCAATGTTTGCCATAAATCATCCCCAGAATAATAAGCGTCTGCCGCAGCCTAGCTTACCGTCTCTTAACCTCAGGATCGCTCGTTAAATGTGTGTCAGTCAGATATATTTCTCTTCTGTAGACTGCTGTAGGAATACTTTACGCTGAGCGCTTTAAATCATGGAATCGCTTTGCAGTTGCCATTGTTTTCCTTTCGTACTCCTTTGGTTGTGCTTTTTTTTTTCTTTCATTTGTTGGTTTTTCATATTTGTCTTTTTTGTCCTCACAGGAAGATGACTTGAACGACATGTTGGAAACGCTGCACAACCACCCCTTGCCAAAGCCGAATACGCCAGTAAATCTGAGTGTGGTAGGTGCTGGGGAGGGCTGACGCTTTGTTTAGAAACAGAAGTGGGACCACCGGCCTCTCGCTCTGACGTTCAATTATTCTATCTGTCTGTCTATCGTTCTATCTGTCTGTCTGTCGTTTTATTTATCATTCTATTTATTAATCGTTCTTTCTATCTATCTATCTATCTATCTATCGTTCTTTTACTCTGTGTCTCATTCCATGCATCTGTCAATATTTTGCAGTCTGTCAGGTTTTTTTTTTTTTTTGTACAATCTGTCTATGTGTATGTCTGTCTGTCTGATCTCTCCATCTAATCTGTCTATATTCTTCCTTCATTTTTGCAAGAGCAACTACTTACATTTTGCCAATGGGCAAGTAGTGCAAGATCCAGGAAGCAGACAGTCGGTGAGTGGAGAGTGAGTGTGCTGAAGGGAGAGGGATGAAAAGAAAGAGAGAGAGAGAACGGGGCAGTTCTGAAATTTGGAGCTGTTGCCCTAATCGCATGGGAGACAGCTCTCCAATTTTGCCAAATAAACCAGCTCTATTCTTTTTTAAAAATATGGCAAAAAAACCCATCCTGGGTCTTGTCAGTTTTTTTTTGTTTTTTTTGTTTTTTTTCTGGAAAACAATCAAACTTGATAAATGATTCATGCTCTTCCACACTGCTGTATTTTTTTTCAAATATCATACGTTTTTTTTTTGGTTAAAGGGGTCCTATTATGCTCTTTTACAAAGTCTTGATTTTGTTTTTGGGGTGTACTAGAACAGGCTCTCATACTAGGTTGTTCGAAAAACACATTATTTTTCACATATTTTACATTATTTAGCCGCCTGCCAGCTTCAGTGTAAATATTGCGTCAATATCAAATCAATTTGAGCGTGATTTTAAACCCGGATGATTGTAACCACTCTAAGTTTGTCTGCCTTGAGAAAGCTTGCGCATCTCCGACACAGTGATAACACTCGTTGCCTTCTCTAGTGCAGCTCAACCAGGTCTCGTCCTATTCGTCGCTATGTGTGATATCACAAATCCTGGAAAATGCGTTGTAGTCCAAACGAGTCATTCGTTGTAGTTTTTGAAAAGTGATTTCTGTTAA